CCCAGGGAGGGGGGTCTGGGGAGGAGGTGGGTGGAGGAGGGGCGAGGCCCTGGCCCAGGGAGGGGGGTCTGGGGAGGAGGTGGGTGGAGGAGGGGCGAAGCCCTGGGCCCAGGGAGGGGGTCTGGGGAGGAGGTGGGTGGAGGAGGGGCGAGGCCCTGGGCCCAGGGAGGGGGGTCTGGGGAGGAGGTGGGTAGAGGAGGGGCGAGGCCCTGGGCACAGGGAGCTGGAGTCGCTGAGTCGCTCTCCCAAAGTGCATCGTGGGGCCTGCGAAGGTGCATTGCTGGGGAGTGTGGGTCCCCGTCCTTGGGCGTCAGGTGCGCCCCTGGAGCGACCGGATGCCCCTGTGACCCAGGCAGCTGAGGGCATCACAATCACTGGCTTTCACAGGGCTGTGTCCTACGCGTTGGCCAGACCCTCACTGCTGGGTGGCCACCCCAGGACACTAGAAGGTGGGCAGGTGGAGGCCAGGGAGGGGCGGTGGCTGTAGGGTGGGGCACAAAGGGCAGGCGCTCGTCCCCCTCGGCCTGAGGGCAAAGCGCCTCCAGCGGCCCCCCTCCCCCGACAACCCTCCCAGTACCCGACTCAACTTGGCTTCTGGGAAGAGGCTATTCTTGGGTCTGCCCAACAGGTGCGGAGAGTGGAGCTCGAGCCTGCGCTGACGTCAGCCTCCCAAAGTGTCCTGGTCCCGGGCCGAGGCTGCCTCTGCCTCTGGCTGGACGGGCGCCCCCGGGGCCTGCACAGGGCCGGCTTCGTCCTGGCCTGGCTCTGTGCCGAGGGCTCCCAGCCGCAGCTGATACTCCGGACTCACCCAGGACTAGGGAGGGCCTGGGAACCTAACATGGGGATGAATATCACCTCCTCCAGGAAGCCCTCCTTGCCTCCACCTCATCCTGTTACCACATCACTGCTGGTTCAAAGCCAGGATCTCTGGAGGAGGCCAGGGCTGTGACTGAGCTGGTGTTTAGGTCATATTTTGTGCCAGCCTCGGTGCTAGGTCCCTCCTTCAAGGGCCAGCATGGTGAGCACCTGACTCACAGAGGAGAGGCAGAGCCCCCAGAGAGGCTGGGTGCCCTATCCCAGCACCCTGCAGGGCAGGAGCTCAGAGCAAACTCAGCAAATATCTCCTGAATGAGGGGACCCGTGAGTGTGCATGCCACCTCTATCTGCATGGAGGGAGCATGGAGGAGCCCTTTGAAGGAGAGCTGGTGCTGCTTCTGGGAGCCCCTGATTCCTGGGGGGGCCGGGTCCCACCCCCAGCCTGTGCCCCCTCCTCTGGCTCTGAATCCCCCCGCCCCCCGTCCCCAGCCCCATCCCCTGCTGAGGCAGGAGCCCTTGGGCCTGGAGGCAGCTGTCCCAGGGGCTGGGTCTCCATAGCTCATGAGAGCACAGGGAAGGAACCAGAACGGAGGCCAGCATGGAGGCGGAGGGGTCACGATGGACAGAAGGAAATTTATATTTTTTGGCATTCAGCTGCCTCCGCAGTGACATAATCAGAAGGTTTTTACTGACTGGGCAATAAAATAGCTCATAACCGTGAATGCACGACGCTTCAGCAGAGCCGGCCGCAGGCTTCGCAGCCTTGGTGAAGGTCACTCCTGGGGCTCAGAGAGGCTGCCGTGGGGCTGGTGGCCTCCCCGGAGGCTGAGCCTCAGACATGGGCAGAGGCCCTGGAGGGAGGCGGGACAGAGGTGGGTGCAGCCCCGCTCCGGTGGGCTGAGCTGCCCACCCCCTCGGGCTCCGCCAGCATCATCCATCGGGCAGCTACCCCAGTGCCAGTCAGCTGGCTGACAATGTCGCCTCCTCACGACCAGGCGAGGTCACTTAGTGGGGGAGGGATGTTGTGAGGACCAGGGTCCTTGTTGAGCCGAGAGCGGTGGTGGCCGGCGAGCTGCACCAGCTTCCATAAGGGGTTGTGAAGGGGGTGGGCACCAGAGAGGGGGCAGGGGCGGGGGTCCTGGCACCCACCC